CATGGCAAACATTTTTTGGACCCAAACCAGGCTCCATTTTGTGATTTGATGCAATTACCTATCAATCTCTGATTTTAGGAACTTCTTTTTTTTAAAAAAAATATTTATTTTTTAGGTGTAGATGGACACAACACAATACTTTTATTTTTATGTGGTGCTGAGGATCGAACCCCGGCCCTGCCTGTGCTAGGGGAGTGCTCTACCACTGAGCCACAGTCCCAGCCCCTTAGGGACTTCTTACTGCTGTAGGGAAGGGGGCTGCCTCGAGCTGAGGGGGCAGGGTCCATGTGTGGTGGGTCAAGCAGTTTGGAGTCTCTTTTTTAGAAATCAGGTCAGTCGAGGGGTTCATGGTAAAAGTCTGGTTTGGGAAGAACAGTTGTAAATTCACCTGGGAGTAGATTCTTCTATGAAAGAAATAAAAAGACATGAGTACCAAAATGAGATCAATACAAAATAAATTAATTAACCCAGGTTTTGTGTTCTTGAAGCAGTACCTCTGCAAAATATTAACAGGCAACAGTTATAGGGAAAATACAAATGAAATTAACAAGAGTAAAAACATATTTAGTTTGTGTAACAGCTGTCTTGAATTTGGCTGAATCATACATTATACCCCGTTTGAGATCACATTAATCTTTACAATAAAATCAATCTTTTGAATACAACTTTAAATGAACTGAAATCTGGCCTAATTTGGAGCCATTTAACAGGTAGTACGGTGGGAAGGCAGAAAACAAGTGCAAGGCAGGAGGATCACAAGTTCAAGGCCAGCCTGGGTGACCCTGTCTCAAAACAAACAAATACAAAATTGAAATGAATAAATAGAAAAGGGCTGTGGATACAGCTCAGTGGCAAGGCACCTAGGTTCAACTCCCAATACTTCAAAAGCAGAACAAAACAAACAGCGTAGAAGCTGCCCTCTTCAAAAAAGAACATGTTTTGTGTGGTGCTACACTACACACCCGTGACCCCAGACACTGGGAGGCTGAGGCAGGAGGACACAACTCTGAGGCCAGCAGGGTAACTTGTGAGACCTGTCTCAAGATTAAAAAGGGCGGGGGAGGGGCTGGGGATGTGGCTCAAGCGCTTCCCTGGCATGAGTGCGGCCCGGGTTCGATCCTCAGCACCACATACAAACAAAGATGTGTCCGCCAAAGAGGGAAATGTAAATAAAATATTAAAAAAAAAAAAAAAAGGGTGGGGAGAGCTGGGGACATAGCCCAGTGATGAGTGCCCTGGAGTTCAATCTCCAGCACCAAAAATAAAAGCCAAAACGACCACAAGCCCCCAGCCTGTGCTGTCGTGGCCTCTCAGCCCCACTTCTCTCCAGCTGGACAGCAGTGGTGGTGGGCAGCAGCTCCAGCCGCTGCAGCAGGTCTAGTCCACTGCAGATGGGGCTCCCATGTTGACGTGGAGCAGGGACCTTGCAGACAAGCCAGCCCAGGAAGGCCCGACATGGACACTGGCTGCCCCAGCGAGGGCCCTCATCTCACCTTGTTTTGTTGCTGTTCTGAGGGTTGCACCCAGGGCTGCTCCGCCTCTCAGCTACACCCCAGTCTCCATCCCCCCTTTTTTAAAAAATATATTTTTTAGTTGTAATTGGACACAACCCCTTTATTTATTTATTTTTTATGTGGTGCTGAGGAGCAAACCCAGGGCCCTGCATGTGCTAGGCTGAGCACTCTATGGCTGAGCCTCAACCCCAGCTGCAACCCCCCACTTTAAAAAAAAATTGAGCCAGGGTGTCAGTTAGTTGCCCAGGCTGGCCTAGAAGCTGCCCTCTTCCTCGGCCTCCCAAGATGCTGGGATGACAGGTGTGTACCACTGTGCTGGTTTTCTCCTCTGAGGGTCACTTCATGGTCACCTGTGCAGGTGCAACTGAGCTGCGGATGGAGTCCAGGGCATGGGTGAGCATTGGGCTGCTGTCTGCTGGGCCTGGTGCTGGCCACTGCATGCAGTGGGAGCCTCGTCCCAACATGTCCTCAGTGTCACTGAGCTTCACAGAGGCAGCAAGGCAACCAATCCTTCACCCGGGATCAACTCAATCCCTCACCCTACCTGGGATCTTCTTTATACACATTCCTCTTCTAAACCTTCTTACAGAGGAACATGTTACAGAAAACTCTCACATGTCCTGTATTTCTGATGCTGTGTCAGTTCTGCAGCAGTGGTCCTGCTTTTCTATGTGGCTGACAGTCTTTAGTCTTTGACATGCTGTGTTCAAACCCTAGGACAATTTACCACTGAGCTACCTCCTCAGCTTTTTTTGAGATGGAGACTTGCTATGTTGCTGAGGCTGGCCTCAAACTTACCATCCTCCTGCTTTAGCCTCCGTAGTTGCTGGAATTATACAGGTGTATAGGGCCAGGTATCTTTTACTGGATGCCATATGACACGCATTCTATCTTGTGAGGCATGCAATGTGACAGTATCCCATATTCTTTTTTGTTATTGGGGATTGAGCTCAGGGGCACTTGACCACTGAGTCACATCCCCAGCCCTATTTTGTATTTTACTTAGAGACAAGGTCTCACCGAGTTGCTTAGCATCTTGCAATTGCTGAGGATGGCTTTGAATTCACAATCCTCCTGTCTCAGCCTCCGAGCTGCTGGGATTACAGGCGTGCGCCACTGTGCCTGGTGTGCACACGTGCGCGCGCACACACACACACACACACACACACACACACATATATTTTTTTGTAGTAGTAGGTGGATAGAATACCTTTATTTTTATGTGGTGCTAAGGATTGAAGCTGTGCTAGATAAGCACTTGACCACTGAGCTATGGGCCAGCCTTCATTCTTAAGCTTCTTTTTTACACCTCTGTTTTTGCTTTTTATGTGGTGCTGGGGATCAAACCCAGTCCCTCAAGCACACTAGGCAAGTGCTCTATCAGTGAGCCACAACCCCGGCCCCTCTTAAGCTCTTTTTTTTTTCCGGGATGCAGCCAAGTTACCTGCAAACAGTAGACCCTTTGAGGTCTTGCTTTTATGATTTGACAGGTATGATTATTTTCCATTGCCGAGGCTCTACCTAATCCTTGTGGACTTTTTCCTGTGTAGTTGATGGGGACAGGTCCAGTCCAGTCCAGTGGTCCACTGGATACTGTAACCCTTAAGTTTATAATTTTTTGGGGGGGTACTGGGGATTGAACTCAGGGGTGCTTTACCACTAAACCACATCCCCAGCCCTCTTTTGTATCTCATTTAGTCAGGGTCTCGCTGAGTTGCTGAGGCTGGCTTTGAACTGCAAAGCCAGCCTCCTGCCTCAGCCTCCTGAGCTGCTGGGATTACAGGCCAGCTAGGATGGTTCTTCCCCAGCTTTGGGAAAATGTGCTGACAGCTCTGGGTGGCTCTGTGGTACTCATCCTGCCAATCTCTTGTCTGGCACTCTAGTTGCTGCATCTCTGGCTGTTTTGCTAGGCACTCTCTTGATCCCCAGGCCTTGCTGGGCTAACCTACAGACACAGGGCAGGCCAACTGCAGAAAAAACACCAAGTCATCTCTGCACACGTGCTGGACTTCTGGAAAGAGCACATGCTTTAGGGCCTGCACAAACCAAGACTCCCAGAGGGCAATCACTTCTGACTCCAGGCTGTAGTCCAGTGAATGCACCAGCAGACAGACACCATAAACACTTGGTTTCCAGGTGTGAATGGGGAGCTTGCAGCTCAGATCCAACCAACCCCAGGTGCTAAACTCTTTCACAGTGGTCACCATGCTGCCTTGGGCTGAGAGTTCTTGGTGCACTCCACCAACACAGGCTTTGCAGCCCTACTGCGCACAGGGCCACAGGGTGAGCAGGTCCAGGAGAGGACCTGCAGGACAGGACCTCAGGTACACAGTTCCATGCTGGGCAGATCAGCAAGTGAAGGAGGGTAGTTCTGGGAGGGCCCTCAACAGTATGATCTGAGGGATACTGGTGAAAAGCCTGTGGGAGCTGAGGGCCAGGGCAGGCCTTGGCCCCGATTCCAGGGTGTCTGGGGTGGGTGACTCTGGGATGCAACTTGCAGTTTGGGAGTTTTCTATTTTCTTCATTAAGGGCCGGGGCACCAGGAGAGCCTGGCACAAGCACTTCCCAGTCCACACTGCTGTGGAGAAGGGCTTTTCCTTTTTTGGTCCTGGGGACTGAACCTGGGCACTTTACCACCGGGCACCCTGCCCCACTCTTTGTTTTACTCTGGGACACAGCCTAAGTTGCCCAGGCTGGCCTCGGGACCCTCTCGAGTAGCTGGGACCCCCGGCGAGTGCCACCGCGCCCAGCAAGGAAAGGAGGTCCTCAGGGGGCGATGACGATGCCGGGAAAGGGCTGTGGGCCTAGTTCTGCCCCGGTTCCGGCCGAGCTCCTCCTGCCCAGGCCGCGGTTTCTCCAGGCGCTGGCTTCTCCGTCCTGGGGCCTTA